TGCAAAATAACTGAGTAAATCATTAAAAAAAACCCCACAAGCTCAAATCATCCCCAAGCCAAGTGGGGCAGAGCTGCTGCTCCTACCTTGTAAACACAGCCCAGTGATGGCTGTAGGGGACACGTCACCAGGTTTGTCCCCACGCCAACCATGTCAATCTCACTCCCCTGGTGTAACAGAGAAGACAACGAGCATCAACAGCTGCTTTTTTTTTTCCAAGCTCATGCTAAAACCAGAGCCAGGGAGCAGGTCAGGGGCTGCTAGGCCCCAAAGTGCCTCCTGGTCTCCATATGTCCATCCTGCCCACACATTCCAGGTGGAAACTTTTTTCTTTTCCCACCTGGGAAAGGCTGAGTCACAGGAAAGTGACTGTCACATCTGTCCCTCAAATGCTCCAGCCCCAACCTCACCTCTCGGATGAAGTCCTCCAGGCTCTGTTCGCTGATGTCGTTGCTCACGGCTATGGGGATGCTCCCAAACCAAGGCACCTGGAAGCTGGAAAGGAAGAAAAAAGAGCAGAAGAATGAGCAGGAAGGCAGTCCCAGGTTTGGGGGCTCTGAGAGCCAGCGAGCACCCCACAGGGCAGCGAGGGCTCCCACTCTAACAGCCACAGAGGCAGGACACGCAAAGATGTGGGTACCCGGGGAGGAGAAGCAGGGGATGCTCTCCGGATGTCTGCACGACTCACTGAGCACCGCAGGCTCGGAGCACCCTCCGGGTGTCCTTGGACTGCTGGATGAGGTCCCCGCTATCCAGGCGCACCCCGATGGCGCGGTACCCTAACTGGTGTAGGGCCAGTGCTACAGCGCAGAAATTGGGCAGACCGCTCCTGACAGGGGCAGGGAGAAGAATTAGCGTTCGTGTCCTGCACCAGGTGACAGTGAAAGATGGGGACACAGCAAAAAAGGCAACCTCATGACGCAGTAAGTGTCCAGCAGCCCCTGGAAATCCTGTGGAAAGGCGATGGCGTAGGACACGAAGGCGGCCAGCTCACCGCGGTTGGGTTTGTCACTGGGGGTCCCCAGCAGCTCACACACACGCTGCAGCCATGACTCAGCCAGGGATGGGAGATCCATGGGCTCCCCACCTTCCAGCGGTGACAGGACCTGCTCGGAGATATCAGTGATGACACTGAACCAATCACGCTGACTTCAGTGGGTGAAATGAGTTCTAATGCAGGTCTCGTGCACCCCGTACCATGTGCATCCCCTTTTCCCTTCCAGCAGCTATGGGGATGGCTAAGCCATATCTGGGATGTCCCATCCCCATGGTCATATCGGGGGTGTCCCATCCCTGTCCCATCTGCAAGCACTCACTCTGGGCTGCACCTCCTCCAGCGACCTGAAGGACATGATGAAGGAATGGGCGACGGTGCCACGCACTGGGATGCCATAGAGCTTGCCTGCCAGGACGTTGCTGGTGTAGTCAAAGCCTGGAAGGAGGGATGAGGGGTGACAACATGACAACAACACAGCATGGATATGTGGGGCAGCACTCACCTCCAATATAGGAATACTTGGAGGCAGAAAGTCCACCATCCGGACCCTGGGCGCGACGTAGACCCAACTCCATCAGCTTCATCTCTGGGCCAGCAAGAAGGCGGAATCGAGCGGCGTTGGTGGCCACCAGGCTGGAAGGGCCAAATCACACCAAGTCATGTTGGTGACAAATGGGACTATCATTTGCTTGGGGACCACCACAACTCAGTCACAGCCAAGATACAGGGCCAAAAGTTGGTACAGCATTGGGAATGATAAAGGGGACCCTGGTTTGTTTGGCGAACAACTCCACTTGGTCACAGGGACAACAGCTGGTCCAGTAGAGACGGACACATCGCCCTGTAGAACCCCAAAAAGGTTGTAGGGTCCTCTACCTGGCATAGCTGACCAAGCACAGCAAGGTGGTCTCCAGCAGTTGCACCACCAGCAGCGGTCCCTTCACCTGTAGAAGCGGGACCTGCGGGGACAGCATGGTGACATCCCCACAACCACACACACCAGAGATGGGGACATGGGGACGCTCGGCCACGTGTCGCACCCTGGAGAAGACAATGGAACCTTCAGGCACGGATGTGACGGTCACCTCAGAGGCATCCACGGTGCTGAGGTAATCAAAGAAAGCATCCTCCGTCGTGCTGGGCAGCACCGAGCGCAAGTAGGCGATGTCTGCAGGGATGTCAGCTCGTGTCCCTGTCCCTTGTAAGGCATCATCCCTCCAAGGGACTTCCATCAGGTCCCCAAGCTCCTCTGGGGGAACCCCACGTGCCACCAAGGGGTCTCCTGGTCCCTCTGAGGGATGTCCCTTTCTCCATCAGATCCCCCTAAGGGACATTTCCATGTCCCCTACCTCCCTTTGAGAACTCAGTTCTCCCTCAGAGAAGTCCTCGTGTCCCACAAATCTTCCTGAGGAATGTCCTTGTCCCTCTAAGAGATGCCCCCATGACCCATCTGAGGACTCACATCCCTCTGATGGCACATCTCTGTCTCCCACCCCAGGCTCCCATCCATTAGGACTTCTGAGGGACATCGTGATGCCCCATGGTCCTCCAGAGGGATGTCCCCACGTTGTCTAGTTTCCTTTGAGGACTCAGATCCCTCTGAGTCCCCTGTCTCTCCAAGAGCCATCCTCCTGTCCCCATGATCCCTCTGAGGACTCCAGACCTTCTGAGGGATGTCCCTGTGCTCCCTCCAAATTCCTCTGAGGAGTTCCCTGTCCCTCTAAGGGACATACCAGCGTCACCACCCCAGCCCCCTCTCTCTCAAGCCCCTCTGAAACACACCCCTGTCCCCCACCATGTTCCTTTGAGAGATGTCCCCGTGTCCCCTGGGTCCTACTGAAGTCTAAAGGGATGTCCCCATGTCACCTAGATCCCTTGGGGGACTCTGGTGTCCCTCCGAGGAATGTCCCTGTCCCTCGAGTCCCCCCCCAAAGGGCTGCCCACAGGTCTCTCTGTTGAGTCCCCTGTCCCATCTGAGGACTCAGATCCATCTGAGAGATGTCCCTGCTCCCTTTGAGGAACCCCCCCCTCCGTCCTTCTAAAGGCCGTCCCTATGCCCCCAGATCCCTCCAAAGCACACCCGAGGGATCTCCCCGTGTCCTAAGGACGAGTCTCCAGGGATATCCCCACGTCCCATCCGAGGACTCGCGATGTCCCCTTCCCCAATCCAAGTCTCCCTAAGGGATGTCCCCGCGTCCCCCCCCCTTCCCTCCCCCCACAACGACCCACCCGCAGCCGAGAAGCGAAGAGCCCCGAGGCTGCGCAGAGCCTGGCCCAGCCCCGCTCCCACAGCGAAGGCGGCACCGAAAGGTTCCCGACGGAAGAAGAGCTCGGCGGCCGCGGGGTCCCGGTGCCTCCCCGTCCGCCACAACGCGTACGCCATCGTCAGGTGGTACAGATCGGCCAGAGGAGCCATCGGCGGAGCGGGGCGGGGAAGAAGAGCGGGGCAGCATGGGAGCGAGGCGGGGATGCGGGGACGTGGGGACACCTGGTGGGAGGACGGGGAATGCGGTGGCGTGGGGACTTGAGTCGGGGATAAAGGCTCGGAGGGGGGGATGTTTGTGGGATAAGGGAGCAATTGGTGGCGTAGGGGGGACGTGGTGCATTGTGGGAGCGGGGCATTTGGGGATGGGGGCACTCAGTGGTTTGGGGGGGGGACATAGGGGGCACTCAGTGGTTTGGGGGGGGGACATAGGGGACACTTGGTGTGGCTTGGGAGGGGACATGGAGGGCACTTGGTGGCTTCAGTGGGGGACAGGAGACACTTGGGGCTGGAGAAACAGGGATACAGGGCACTCAGTGGGGGCATGGAGGGGTACAGGGGGCATTTTGTTGCTTGCAGGGACAGGTGGTGACAGACAGGGGATGCAGTTGGTGGGTTGGAAAGGGATATTGGGGTATTTGGCTTCGGGAGGTACACAGAGAGGAGGTGGTGGCCTGGGGGAGGACAGGAACATGGGGAAATGGGGACAGGGGAGCACCTGGGGGCTTAGGGGACCTAGTGGTGGGCACAGGGTGGCTTTGCATGACAGAGAAACATGGGAGATTGGGCATTTGGTGGCTTGAAGAAAGGGAAACATTACTTCTGTTTTTAAGGGAGAAAGACTCGGGGAACTACAAGCTGGTGAGCCTCACTTCTGAGCCTGGAAAGATCATGGAGCAGATACTGCTAGAAGCTACACTAAAGCAAATACAAGATCAAGGAGTGATCTGAGACAGCCAGCATCGCTTCACCAAAGGCAGACCTTGCCTGACCAACCTGGTGGCTTTCTATGATGGAGTGAGAGCCGTGGATGTCATTACAGAAAGGACATGGAGCTCTTGAAGCAGGTCCAGAGGAGGTCCACTAAGATGAGCAGAGGGTTGGAGCACCTCTCCTATGAGGAAAGGTTGAGGGGACTGGGGTTGTTTAGCTTGGAGAAGAGAAGGCTCCATGTGGACCTCACTGTGGCCTTCTGCTACTGAAGGAGGTAACACAAGGCAGTGGGGACACAGGGCATAGCAGCAGACACAGCACATGGGCACAGAGGGCACAGAAGGATGTAGGAGACAGTGGATGGCAACACATGGATGACTAGGGACAGCAGGATGTAAGAGATAATGTCACATCACAGGGCAGGCACAGAGCACTGCAGTGCCAGTTTTCCTAGCTGGGTGGAGCTGTCACTGCTGCAGCTCCATCTGTACTCACAGTGCAGCCACGCAGTGCTTCCCACTTGCTGGGTGTTGGCAGCTGGACCTTGGACTCTGGCACTGTGACACCCCATGAAGTGTCCTCTCCTTGCCATAGGCCAGACTAAGCACAGGCCTGGTTCCTCACAAACCAAAGGACCTGCAGAAGTGACCTGCTAAGGGTATCACAAGCAGCAACCTGGAAACACAGGTATCCTCTTGTCGAGGTCTTCCCTTTTATCAAGAGAACAAAACAGGGGAAATACCCTGACATCTTACAACGTATCACTCTGGGGAAGTCACACTTAACAGAGAAAACCATCATCCAATCTGCACTCCTTGATCTTTTTATTAGTTACAGTATCACAGAGAATAGGTTTGCTTCTAGATCTTGTTGAAAGCAGCAATGTCAACACTTTGCACCTGCAACACAACAAAAGCAGCAACGAGAAGTCACTGAGGTGTTTTCAGAAAGGAAGGATTCACACGGGGGGAATTCTTCACAGCATGCACTAGTTCTGCTCAAAACAGACTGAGCATTGCACAGGTCTGAGGCCAGCTCCCCAGCCGCCCTCAGGGGACATAACAGGACACTGGTGTTAGCTATTGCATCAATCTTTGGGTAGCTCCTTCAGGTCAGCCCTTTTACCCTCCCATTTCCATGGCAGTGGAGACAGAATGGGGATGGAGGCACCTCCAGCATTAACCACCAGGGTTAAAACTCATGCAATGCCACACCAGAGCTGCCCAGGTTGAGCATAAAAGCAGGAGTTGCTCCAAATGGGCTGGATGAGGAGCAGAAAGACTGCAAAATGGCTCAAGAAAAATACTTACATAGTCCTCAAACTTGGTGATCTCCTCCTCCAGGATGTCTGTCCCGACTTTATCATCCTCTACTACACACTGGATTTGGAGTTTCTTAATGCCATAACCTACTGGGACCAGTTTAGATGCTCCCCACACGAGCCCATCCATTTGGACAGACCGCACACACTCCTCCATCTTCGCCATGTCAGTCTCATCATCCCACTGCAAGGGCAAGAGAGAAGGTATTAAATGTTTTCCTTGAGGTCACATGAGAATGACAGAAAAAAAGTGACAGAAACATAGGAGTTGGAGGAGACTTCCTGAGATCACCACGTGCAATCCCACTGCTAATGGATTTTTCCTGCACACCCTTCAGATATGAGGGGGAATTCTTCTTACATCAACACATCTGCTTTGGAACAACACAAAGGCTGCAATATCCCACCTGCAATCTCCCACCTCACTCTGAACCCTTGCATGTTTCCAAACAGGTCAAACCTTCAACTCAGATGCACAAATGAGATGATTTGCAGCTTCACTCAGGAGCTCTCCCACTTCACCTACTCACCGGCTTCACGTCCAGAAGGATGGAAGATTTGGCAATCAGACCTGGTTTCTTGGCCTTCTTTTCTGCATACTGACGCAGTCTCTCCTCCCGCACTTTGGCAGCCTCTTGATCTTCCTCTTCGTCATCGCTGCCAAAAAGGTTGATGTCGTCATCATCATCATCTTCCTCTGCAGCAGCTGGCTCAGCTTTCTTTGCAGGTGAAGCAGATGGCAGCTCTACTTTCTTGGAGGGAACACCGAATGGCTCCACTTTCTTCATGAGGGCGACGTGCAGTCAAGTAAGGAAAATGGGGAGAAGAGTTCACATTGCTACAGACAGTAAAGCACAGCCCACAGGGTGTGAAGAATTAGCCACCAGCCATGAACATAGGACACATAGGACACTGGACCAGGAAGACCTTTGAATTTGCCTATCATAGCCATGTTACAATTCACAGAGTAAAAACAGTCCAGAGCTGATCCTTTTCCTAAGGGCTCAGAGGTTCAGAATATCCAGAACACGAGGAGGAGAGCAGCTGAGAACCTGGCCTTACAGAACAGCCTTGCTGGATGCTCCAATGCCATAATTTACCTAGAGACCATGCATTGCCCTGAAGACCCCTGGAGGTGAACAGCTTGTCATCTTCCACTCAGGTGGGAAACACACCCTTTCCCCAGGATGCTGCAGGTCTACAGATTTACAAGCAAATTCCTACCAAAAGATTTACTGCAATTTATTTTCTCCCTCAACAAGAGAAGCAGTACAGCTCCTAATTTAAGGCACTAGCAACTGAACACCTTCCTTAAGCATGAGCTTCCTTCTTTGCCTTCAGGTATATTTCCTTCAGCATAAACTGGTTTGGGAAAGATAAGGCAGTTGCCAAAACTGATGGAAAAGCTGTACCAATCTCATCCTGACTATATCTCCATTCCCAGCACCCAGACAAACCTCAGAAGCAACCTGGCACTTTGTGACAATAAAGCAGCACTTTGCTGGGACTCACCTGGGTTGGTGGAACAGGTGAGGGTTGATGGGAGGTAGATTTTTCCAGAGCATTTAGGCGACTTTCCAGCTTGAAAATGGCCTTCTGGAGATCTGCAACAACTGCAAGAAGAGGGTGGTGTGGGGAAAAAACAGCTTGAAGACTGTGCATCAGCTCTAAAGTTAAGTCAAGCTACCCCGACCAGACTGCTTGTATGATAGAAAGTTCTACTTACCATTGTGAAGGTTTTGATTTTCTACCTCCAGGTGAGAGATTCTGGAAAGAAGTTCATTTTGGTCACCAGAACTCGTGCTTGCACTCTGCAACAAGGAAAATGGAAATGAAACAAATCTGTTCACCTACTCCCAAGCTCAGTAGTTCAGTGAAAACAAAGCAGAGTCAAACATTTGGGGAAAAAAAAATAAATTAAGAACTATGCTAAAAACATGGACACGAAAGCTTCAAAGAAAATAAGCTGGCTCTACATAATGAAGCATGAAACATCAACAAGTTTCATCTGGCAGCGATGAGCAAAGGATGAAGTCATTCCTTGCAGTCTCAGACCATCACTAAACAACACAGAACACGATGGAAGTTATCACACTAAGTCCCTTCTCTGGGGCAGCTGCCTCCTCTTACAGCTGAGCTGAGGCACAGAGCACAGAAATGACCTGTTAACATCACACAGCAAAGCCCCTGTGAAAGGCTGCAAAGAGATCTCAGCATTTCTACGCTCCCACCTTCCCCAGTCCGGCCCTCAGTTCCTCTCAAAGCAACTTAAACTTTACTTGAGCACACCCTGAGGGAGCAACTACGCCGATTCAGCTTCAAAAGCATTCAGTTTAAAAGCAAAAAGGGCTTATCTGTAACTTAAGATCATCTCAAAGAAAAAGAAAATACAGTCATTCATGCTTGAAGTGCCTTCTATAACTAAATACAACAGTGAAAGTTTATATTCTTCCAAGTGCACTCTGCATATAATAATGCTGTTTTCAGTCATGGCTGACAAGCAGTCACTTAAGATTTAAGAGAGAGGAAAACAAGGAAATGGAAAGCAGGTGTGGGAGATGCTGAGCCCTGGGAGAGCAGGGCTCTTTTATGGGACATACAGAGCAGTGGGAGATGCTCTGACATTCCTGCTCAGAGACCTTTCCCCACACACCCCAAAGGGGCAGAGACCAGAGGTCAAAACCACCACGAAATCCATCTTTGAAGGCAATAAAGGCTCAGGGATGGAATTGCAGATCTGCAGCTCCTAAATGCTGTGCTACTAAGACCCTGTTGGGTGAGCTACAACAGTATGCCAAAAGAGAAATGCTCCTCGTTGAAATGTCTGCACTGCAGCCTCTTCCTGCATCACACAACCAGCTCCATTCACGCTGAGAGGACTTACAGTTGAGCGGCCTGACTGCCTCTTTTGACGGGCAGGAGCTTCTTTACTACGTGGACCTGTCTTCTGCTGGAAAGGGCAAAAAGTTTGGGGGATGTTTGGTTCAACAAAGAAAACGGAAAAGCATTTCACTCATGCTGGAGGAGTGCAGGAAGCAGATCCACATGCTGGCAAAGTGGTCAAACGACGAGTCAGCATCAAACCAACTCCACACCAAACAAAGCCTGCATTAAAACAGCCGCCTGGGAGCTCTGCTCTTTGTGCTACGCATCTCAGTGCCTGCAGGAAGTCACACAGCAGAGGGGCAGAGTGAAGAGCACAGCCTTTGTCACTTCCCCACCTGTGAGGTCAGGGATGCATGCAATACTGCAGCACACGCCGTGGCCTCCGCTAACTCTGCCCATGCGCGGTGTGAGACCCTACAGGCAGAAACACAAAGCTACAAGGCTCCTAGCAGGTCTCCAATTACCACTGATGACCTTATCTTAGAGAGGAGAAAGGCAACACAACACCATTCCACACCCAACAACTCAATGGTGTTGGTTTCCACCCTTGCACTGCTAGCCACAGTGGGCTCACCATATCAGATGAACCATAGATTTATGCACCAAAGGCAAACATTGAATTGCAAATGGGCTCATTATCTGACCTCTTCCTGTTTTAAATGCATCGTCCACAGTGCAACTTAATGCAAGGGCCAAGGTCTAAGTTAACTCAATGAGAAGGCTGAAATCTGGCAGGAGTCACACCCATCCCCACCCCAAAAAAGCACTTTTACTCATGATCATCACACATACAGGAGCTGCCACCTGCAAGGAGAGCTGCAGCAGAACCTTCACCCCCCTGACAGCAGCCTGTTGATTCAGCACAGCAATGCAGCTTTTGGCAGTTTGAAGCTCTCATGACGTTTCTGAGACAAACACTGCAGCATTTGAGTGGGCTCTGTGCTTACCAAGAAAGGATGGAGCTGTGGCTTGCAGTAAGAGGGCTTTGAAACCAGACCGTGTGACAACACTGAGCCAAGATCCCAATTCTGGAAGGTGGTCATGTCCTACTTCAATAAGCTATGAAAATGGTCCCACAGGAATCTGTGGGCTGCCCCCTGAGTTGAGGATATCAAGGACTCTAAAACGAATTTTAAGAACCAGAGACAAGAGCAGTAATGAAGAAGAAAAGCTGGCAGAGGTTACACTTCTTCATTATCAGCTGAAAGACAAATTTATGTCTGGACTTTAACAGCTCAGAGCTCTTTCTCTGCTAACAGACACAGATGGAAAAGCTGGCACTTTCCTCCAAGAAGGATTTGGAGGTATCAGCTTTTTCCCTTCATGTGTAAACCAGTTGCAAAGCACAGCATGCAGCTTTTACCAACTGTGTTTCAGACAGGATAACACGTAGGCCCTCCAGTTTGTTTCCAAAGCACTCAGTGCTTCATACAAAAACCAAACCTATTCCTTGCATGCAGAGGTGCATGCACCTCTCTCCAGGTCAGCCTGCCCGAGCTTGGGAAATACAGGTTTGGCCATATACCAAACTGAAAAAAAACCAAACATAATCATGTTTGGTAACTAGAAGATGCTTTCACCTGCATTAGGCCAGCAGGATGAATCTTAGTTGGTTTCTGAACGTGACCTCAGAGAACTTATGCAATATCAAGAGGTGTGTGCAAAGCTTTGAAACAAACCCAGGAGCTGCACAAATACAGGGGGGGTTTATAACAGAACAAAACAGGGCACAGCAGAAAGAACTTCAGAATCCAGCACCCATTCATGAAAGCCCCATGGGAAGGTTTAGGAAACAGGAGCTCAGCCACCAGCACTGCTGGACTTGCTGATGATGCTGGACAAGTCATTCCTTTCCATGCCTCCTGACCCCATCTGTAAGATCTCACCACCACCAGCTGCAGCACATGTTGAAAACATGGCCTGGGGAAGCATTAGTGATGTAGCAGATGTCAGTTGGAGTGATTGCTGAAAGCAGGGATGACCATGCAATGCAGGGTGAAAGGTATGTGCAAACAAATGTTTCTGGCATCAGAGTTCTGTGCTTTCCTTCAGGAGGTACAAAAGCAGCACCCAAACCCTTCCACAGCGCTCCATCACACACTGCAGAACTGAATTTCAGGCTTGCTCTATGGGATGCCCTGTCCAGGATTAAAAAAATAACCCTTCAGAAACAAAAGCTGATGGTCCTGGCTCATTTCTCAAATGCTCAGTCCTTCTAACCCAACACGTGGAAGCAGAAGACTCAACTGTGGCTTACTGCTGTATGTCCCAGGGCCAGGGTATGGCCATGGGTTGAAAAACCTAAGAAAGAAGCTCTGTGGGATGATCAAAATAAGAGACAATCTGTAAAATGAGATCAAGGAGGAGACCACTGGCCATGTGCTTGGCTTTCCCAAGACACTGCACACTCTGGGAGCAGATTGGGGCACAGAGTGCTTTCCCTAATGCGCGTATGTAGAACAGTGCTTTTCCTTCAAGCCTGGAAAATTCAAGCCTGCATTTTGCAACAACCCAGATTCCAATTTTGAGATGCTGTGGCTCAAGCCTGGCCTTAAATCCTCAAAGTTTTCTTTGCAGGAAACAAAGAACAGTTTTTGATATTCAACACTGAACTCCTGTTGGTGTTCAAAGTACTTTGTATTCACAGCACTGTTCTGGCTTTGGTCTGGTGCTTTGCCAGTTCTCCTAGCCTTCCCTATGACAGGACTTGGCTAACCCAAGCTGACACACTTCTCACTAAGCAGGAGGCAAAGGCCAGGACAAGAAGCTCCTCAGGCTGTGCCCAGTCTCTGGCAAACCACAGTCCATTCTGTGAGATGAGAACACACCTGCAGGGCAAACCCAGCAGCACTGCCATTTGATTTCTATTTAGGTTTCCTGGCTCCACTCACCACATCCAGGCTCTGGCTCCTGCAGGCTGCAGGTTTTGGAGGAAATTGATGTTAGATCTTGCTGGATTTGAGAAGGTCTTAAAACGCTTTATTTGCAACAAGCTTTCCAGCCTTGGTGGAGATGGAATGGGGGTTCACTCCCCCACCTATTTGCCTCACTGAAGTCCAAGCTAAAAGGCTTAGACAGGGGCTGATAATTTCTACCGACCGCCCTGAGTATTATTTTCCCTGCTTCCCTGAGCTGTTAGTTGAAATACTGATGCTCAAGTCAGAAATTAGCATTAAAATGCTTCTAAGCACTTCCTTCCTCTTTCATAAGACCTCCCAACTTCCCAGTGATTCCAATGCTGGGCTCAGAACCATCAAATCCAACCACAGCAAAGCTCACCCTTTCTCAGCAGCCTTGCTATCAATACACCCCACTGCTCCTGCATCCAAGTTTCCACGTAGCACTTGGATCACTCACACAAGCAGTTGCAGAAGCTGCTTTTGTAATGTCAGCTTCCACAGGAACAGTAGGATCACCATGGGAAAAGCAATTAGCCTAACTCTTTTGTATTCACCCCAAATACACAGCTTCTTACTGCTTGTGTTAAGGAGGAACACAAAACATTCCCCTGGGAAAGTACTCAATCCCCTCTTAGATGTAGAAATAACTGCCAAGAAGGAATTATGAGGCCAAACCAATACAGATAAAGGATGGATATCCTCAGATGGAAGACATGCTCAAGTATGCAGAGGCCAGAAATCATATTCTACCTTTCCTGACTTCTTCTCTTCGCCCATAAAACTAAGTCACTTTTCAATTTAAACTACCAGCTTCTTGCTGAAAGCACTGATTACAACAGTGCTGCCTATTGCGTCCTATCAGCACAAAAAAAAAAAACCTCCAGAAATCATTATTCTGAACGTTTATGGGATGGTCCAGCTTGAATTCCCAAGATGCAGCAGATAGAAGACACCATTTTTTTGCACATACCCTAAACTGAAAGCAAAACAGGAAAGAGAAGGTGGCAGCTCAGTGTACCCCGAGGGACCGATCCTGCTGGCAGCTCAGTGCTTTGCTGCCCAGCAAGGCTGTTTTAGCAGTGAATTGTTAAGTGTTGTGGGAGCAAACTCGAAAAAACCCATCAGGAGAAAAAGTAAAGAAATGCAGCTGAATAATTTTTTGTTCAATCCCAAATGCAGTTAGTTAAGGTCACTTAAAGGCTGGTAGCAACGGTGCTCCTGGTAAGATTGTGCCATGCTGGTGATACACAGCGCTGCACACCTTACGCGTCTCCTCTGACTTAAAACTAAGAAGCCACACCATCTATGAAGTGTTCACAGCAGAGTTCTGCACCACAGCTAAAAAAATAATGGTTGCAGGTAGCCAGCTGGTGAGAGCTCGGGTACTCACTCCGGCCAGCGATTTCTGGATATTCTCCCTGGCTCTGGCAATGTCGCGGAGGATCGTGCTGGCTCCGTTCTCCTGCAAACAGTGCAGAAAGAACCAAGATTTTCTTTTAAAAAGAAAATAGGAAACATGGGAAATTGGTCAGGGAGGTTTAAGAACAACAACAACAAAAAAAAAAAAGGTAAGTATACGGGGAGGGTTCCTTCTAACGATTCAGAATGCGTTACTGAATTAGCTGCAAGGATTGGTTCTTCATCAAGCAGCACGCATCAGACACTGGTCACAACAGACCACGTGTTCAGAGATCACCCAGTGAAGGGCTTTCCAATTTCTGTTCTTACCCTGCACAGTTTGCAGGCAGAGGGCTGTCACCTCTCTGCTCCTAAGAGATCTACCATTAGGCAGCCCTTTTTCTTCTTCAATATTACCTGTCACTTCTTGCCTGAATGCAATGGCAACTCCAACTAAAGCCTTGTACCCAGCAAGGTAAATCCCAGGGTACAGCCACATACAGTAGCTTGTTCCCCTTATCTTCCTGCTGACTTGATGGGGAAGATTTCCCCTCCTATGAGGGGAATGGATCATTTTCCATGATCCACTGACTCCTCATCTCTTCTAGACTGTAACCCTACGAGCAAGATCTGTGACATGAAACTGCCCACAAGCCTCTGTTATACAGCTCAGACATGCACCAGCCTGAATTCAGGTGGGTATCCACTAGGAGGCTGCAGACAGGTTTAAACGACCACTGATCTTTATCCTTAGCACAGAAGTGGATGCAAGAACACTACACCATCTCCATTCAGAGCCTTCACATCATCTCTCGGAGCCAAAACCTCCTTACATGGCACAAAATAAACTGTTCTCCTCCCCCTTTCTGCTCCACCCAAAGACCTCTTTAATTTTTGGGCAAGTATCCCCAATGCCGTGCCACCACTATCCTAGCACAGGCAGCAGGAACAGAGAGAGCATGCCTACAAATTACTACTGAAGCAAGAAGCTTCCCCTAGAACCCCTGCAGGACAGCCACGTGAATCACTAAGCAGCTTTCCACATCACCAACTAAGTGCATAAGCAGTTGTCAGCTTTTTCACATTGCAAGAAGAGGTTATAGTAGCTCTGTGCCTTAAAAGGCAATAGTTTGGGACTAAGAATTGTGTGAACTGTTTTCGTTCAGGTGTGTGCTGCAGCAGCACCACGCTCCCATTCCACCTGCTCCCCCCACCTCAGCGCTGTGATGCAGTTTTCCTGCGTCACAGGATGCAGTATTGCAAGGGGTACAAAGAGAGGAATGCATTCCGTGGTTAATTTGGAGACATGGCACCTTCACAGAATCATAAAGGTTGGCAAAGACCTCTGAGATCATTTAATCCAACCTTTCTTTAAACATCAAGCATCATATATATCCAATATAAGCCTTTCCAAGACAAGCTTAGTAGCTCCAAAACCACAGCAAAACAGCACCTTCACAAGGGCACCTCATCTCCCAGCACACTGCCTGTGCTGGACAAGTTCTGGTGCACAAACAACAGACAAAGACAAGGTGGGGTGGGCTTAGCGAGCCTCTCACACTTGGAAAAAAAGCAACAGTGAGTGGAAACAATGCAGAACACATGCAGGTGGACACAGTGTCCTTCTGCATTAAGGCTCCAGCACATCTGAGAGCACATTACCTGCTGGTGTGAAGAGCTGCCGGCCGGCCCGTTCACCTGCTGCTCGTAGTACCTTCTCTCAGCATCATCATACTTAAACTTCTCAAACCAGATCTTCTCATCCAAAAGGAAGTCAACTGCCATTTTTCTGCAGAGGGAGGAGAGGGAAAAAAAAAACAACAAGTGAGTTTCTAGAAGCGTTTCAGGTGAGAATCTTGCAATGGGGTTGCGAGAGCAGTGCTGTCTACCCCATAGGGCTGTGAATGTAGCTTTCTGCTGAGCAGATCCCCCTCTGGTGGGAAGCCTTAAGTAAACAGGATCCTATTAGGAAAGCAGGGTAGGCTAATCAGCCACCCAAGGGCACGGGGAGGGCACAATAAATCAGCTGATCTGTACCACCTTCCAGCAAAGAGCCTCCCAAGGAGGATTTTCTAGATCATGTTCAACACAATGAAATCCACCACTAAGATGCCCTTTGCATGAGACAGATAGAGAGTAATACTCTTAAAGCTGAAAGCAGAGACAGCAGAATCAAGCCACAACTCTGTCAGGCATCTCCTGATCTTACAGGTCACGAATTTCAACAAATTGCAGTTTTCCTTTAACAAAGCTCTGAACTGATGGCTGCCTTAGCATACGCCTCATCCGGCCACTTCACTGCATGCAGAAACCCAGCTGCTGCAAGGACAAAGCATCACAACAAAAATCACACCACGACCAGGTTCTACCCACTCAGTACTGAGAAAGCAAATCACCCCCTAACCCAATGCATGCCCCAACCCAACACATCCCCTTCCTCATCAGCTTTCCAACAAACATTTCCAATGAAGCCAACAGCGTTTTGGAAAACATTCATCCTCCTCACCCACCCATTCCAAAGACACCAGTATGGGTTAACCTGCATTGAAACCATTCCCACTTGCTCAGGATGTGAACTAACTAGTTCTGGCCAACTAAAACTGTCCCATACAGAACAGACACACTCTGAAGCTTGTCTATAAACACCAATCCATACCAGCTGATGTAATCTTCATCTGACAACTTTTCCAACAAATACTAGCTCTGGAATCTCCTTTTCCCCCCTCCCCCCAGATGCATCAGTCTCTACCTTAGCACTGCCAAATGATGTTAAAGCAGCAGACTTCAGCCAAGCCCTATGTCATTACAGCAAATTTTGGGGTTCAGGCAGTCACATGGAAAAGCACAGATTTAACAGAGCACAGCATTGTACTGCATCTTATCCAAGACTTAAAAATGAACGCTTTTATAAATCAATTCAAGGACAGAAAATGCTTATCTACAATTCACAACAGAGTTCATCTATAATGAGAAGCTCTTCCTGACCAACCACACCTGGGCACCACATAAGCCGGAATCCAGCTAGCTTGCAAACCAAATGGTTTAACACATCACTAAAGCAACTTATTCCCCTCTCTGAAGGGGTTTCCCTACTCCCCATCCCACAAACAACCCAAGAGCAGCCTCTCCCTACAGCACAACACACACTCAGTCCCGGGGACACCAAAGGATGCTCATCTTCTACACACGCAAACTCCTCCAGCTCAATCCTGACTCAACTTTGCACGTGTGTTACCCCCAGAATAAACTTCTCCTACTTCTTTTCTGGTGCAGGTATACTCGGAGCCTCAGCATCTGGCTGGGATTTCACCACTGTGGGTTGTGGCATCCCCGTGCTCTCTTTTGCTCCTGACATTTTCAGAGCTTCAGCCGCGTAGTAGCGCGACTCGGCGCTGTCGTACGTCATCTTTTGGAGCCACACACGCTCACTGTCCTCATGCAGGAAAAAGGAGGTGGGTGGAGGCTGCTGAGAGCTGCTGATGAGCTCCATGTGTTCAGCACCTGCTTGCTTCCCAACCTCCTGCTGGTTCTCTGCGGCTCGGGGGGAGCCTGGAGAGTGATGATCAAACATGTTCTCGTAGAAGCTTTTCTCAGCGCCGTCGTAGAGAGGTTTCTCCAACCACACCTCTGACACGAGAGCTTGCAAGCTGGAAGCCTGAGGTTTACCGTTGACTGTGGGCTCTGCGGAGCGAGGCGAGCTGCTAACGAGGGGAGCAGAATTAACAACATCAGGAGCTAAGCTGGGCGTAGCAGGCGTAGGCAGCGCTGTCACATAGCCTTCATCCGGCGTCCCCAGACCGACCTTCCCACCATCTGAGCACACAGAGGGGATGGCGAGGATGTTTGGAGGAACAAAGAACTGAGACCTTTCAAGGAACGCCTTCTCAGCCTTGTCAAAGTCAAACTTGTTGACCCAGATGCCCTGAACGACATGGTGGCACGCGCTCAGGTTGCCGTGGGAGCAGGACAGGGCTGCTGGAAGCATCCATGGCTCGGGAGCATCTTGGACAGCTTCTGATTCAGGCAGCTCAGTCTCTGCTGCCTCCTGGTATTGACAATCCACTAATCTTTGCCTATACAAGCTCTCAGCATGATCATACAAAGGTTTGTCAAACCACACACTGTCAGCTAATAAACCACTCAAAACAGAGTCTACCTGGGAGACCATGTTTTTGGGTTTGGGGGAACGTTTCCTCTTCCTTTGTTTCTTGCCATTTTTGCCTTTCTTCAGGTCTCCCTTGAGTTCACCTTCAATGGAATCATCATTGCAGACCCCATTGACAGCCTCCAGCTCCACGCACTCCTCTGGGACCACGGTGGCCAACATGGCTTCTCTTTCATAATGCAGTCTCTCCGCTTCATCGTATTTGTGCTTGTCTACCCACACCTTTTCTATGGGGCAGAGAGGCTTCCTGGTCCTCATCTTCCAAAGAGTGGCAGCATTAAAAGATAAGCACAACAATGTAGTTGCAGCAAGACTCAATCAAGCAAGGGCATGCATTAGATTTTAGTACTTTTAATTTCTACAAGTGCCAAAAACCATTATTATTCACCTTAAAGAGCCTAAGCCTTTAATTAAATTCCTTTTAATTACAAATTGTACCTCAACGAGGCCAAACTGCCTTCATTTTTCCATGATAGTAGCTTAGCCCTTAATTATCCATCAGGTATGATCAAGCAGGCACTGATCTGGGAAGATATGCTTAAAAAAAAAAGAAGGATGCTCTAATTCTCAAGTATCCTTAGAGGTCATTGCTTACACTCATTTGTGTTCTGCTCCTGAAAAGCCAGGAGAGGGAGCTGATAGCACAACTTTGGTTCAAAACCCCCCAGGGACCAGCAATGAAAAGCAACCGAGAGCTGGAGATTGTGAATTAAGCTTATCCAAAAAAAATCTACTGAAGCAAAGCTGTTTTCTTCCCCAACATGATTTACTAGGGGAAAAAATAAGCTGTTTAAAACAGCAAAGCACTGCAGTGTTCTACTTAAATCTCCCTTAAAACAATCTTTACATGAGCTCCAATTAGCCAGAACTTGCAGTTAAAGCATGAAGGCAAAACGTTTGGGTTTTTTTCTATTGTTTTAGATCAATAAGGACTCCTAAACAGAACATCAGGGTTCTGCATTTGTCTGTCATGCTGTCTGGCTACACATTCATTCAAGTCATCCCAGGGAAAAACAAAAAAAAAACACAAACAAGTGAATAAAGCCTTCAAGATCCTTTACTGGGAACACCTCAATAACCCAAAGCAGGTGTTACCATAGTCTAAAGCCATACACTCCCAAGAGAAATCTGAAAGTTGTGCAACAATCTGTCTAGAAATCCACCAGCAAAGCTACAGACCAGCGCCTTCGTGCCCCATTTCCCACAAGTGCCAAACCATAGGACAGCTGCAGAGTACTTACTGTTTTAGTTCCTGCGACAGCAATAAGGAAAAATATAAAGTTTAAGAGACGTGGCCACGTTTCAGAGATTCAGCAAGGACACGGCCAACAGCTCATTAACTCCCCCCTTCAAATTGCACAGCACAGATCATTAAACTTATGGCTGATTAACTCTCCAGAGCCATGCACCCTTCCCAGGATAGCCACTCTGTTATCTTTAATATTAAAGGACAAAAACCACAGTGATGTTGACAAATAAGAACAGGGAAAGCATCGTTTCTGCTCTGCATTCACCAGTCCTTCCAGCAAAAAGGTAAATACAAAGGCTTTGACTACAGAACAGTGGTTTTAACTACACAAACCACCACATCTGCTGGTGCAGATCTCTGCTTCAGACCTTTAATTCCAGATCAGAGCCCCTCCAGCTCTCCCAACACGCATTATTCTTCAGTTCTGCACAACCTACCAGGTGTTCTACAAAGCTAATGATATTCTCAATACTTATCAGTGCCAAGCAATCGAATGCTCTCAAGTAACTCAGCCCATTGCTTAGCTGTCCCATAAGCTTACAAGAAAAATATCTATAAGACAACCTCTAATTTTTATCTGCTGCTTCAGTGCCTTGGTTCTGGTATTTGTCATCACAATTCCTGGGTATTTTAAGCCAGAACAAATCCGTGCAGTGCTTCCATTGCTGCAGGTCAATGCCTAAAGTTACTGCTGCTCTGTAAATCCAACGTAAGCTTTGGACTTCAGCTATTTGGCTGCATTATCCCCTGAAATCTAGCTACTTTTTAAGAAGCCCATAAAACCAAAGCACACCACACAGTATCCTAGGCTTGCCGCCAAAAAAAAGTTAATTCCATTCTGTTCAGTGGTTGACAGAATCCATTCCCTTCTCCTCTGTCCAGGAAAACACTACATTTCTCTTAACTTGAGAGCCTGTAAAATAAATATATCCATCTCCTTCCCCAGAGTCAGCTTATAAAGATGTTAACAGCAGCTTCCCAGCTGCAATTTGCATTAGATCTTGCAGAATTTCCTGCACTGGAGCTGAAATGTCATTTAAATCTCACCTACTGTGCCAGGCTGAACACAGCTCTCCCAGAAATTAAGCCACACCGAGCTGTTAAAGTGTTTCCCACAGTCTTGAAAAGTCTCTTTAAACGAGCACAAGCAACAAATCTCACCCAACTCTGATTTCTGGAGGGGAGTGACAGCTGCTTTCTGCAAGTCATAAGCAAGGGAGTAAGATTACAAACAGTTCAGCTCCCTGGCAAACAGAGATGGCATTAAAAATAAGTGTCAGGTGGCAGCAGGAGGACAGGGACACAGAGCAGCTTGCTGTAAGACACCTCTGTGCTCCCCAGGGACAAAGAGATGTAGGAGAAACACCAAGGACTACAGATGAACACGATTTCCGCAGGCCAAGGAAAAGAAACTGTCTAGTATTGATGTTTTGTTGGTTTAATTCCCTGAATCGACCCTGTCCTGCATGAGAAGAGCAGCACAAAGCAGCAGGAGAGGAACCACATCCATCAGGTCACTGTGCTACATCAAGTAGCTCCACACCAACCTTTATCCAGGGAAACAACAGTGGCACCCAACCTCTACCACCTAAAACTCTTTGCTCTCAGCCACAACACTGCTGACTACCAATGAAAACACAACGGAGAGCACGGGAAATCAGCAGCAGGGAGTGACAGAAGTGGTCACCTTCACACAGAACAGCAAATTGAAAGCAAGCAAGGAAGAATAGGAAAAAAAAAGCATACCTGCAAGGTCAGAGAGAAAGAGGGCACACCTGAAAAAGGAGAAAAAAGAATTACAGCCATACAGCCAAGCAAAGGCACTTTCTCCTCCATACAAGACATCATTAGAGTTGATTCGAAAACATCAGTGATTTAGATGTGAAAGAACCAGTTTCCATGGGTTTTAGTGGGGCAGAAGGAGTGACACACAGCAGCAGCCTCAGCAGCTTGAGTTATCTCTGCAATGCTCTGCAAACCCCAAGAGAGGATGTCAGCAGCTTCAGCCCTGTCTTGCTGCCAAAAACAAAGCTCTGGAATCGGTACCTCCTGAGTCAGCTATCAGAGAAAGAAAAGGAAAAGCAGCAATACAGGCATTAAGAATATTAGAGGGGTTGGGAAAAGCAGCACAGGGAGAGGGTAAAGCAAGGATGAGCTGATGCCAGGTGCTGGAATGAGTGAAGGGACACACAGGCAGAGCCCAAACACAGCAGAGCTGAATGCAGAGCACGACCCATGCCAAGCACTGCCCATTAATGGAGAGAGGATGATGTAGGAATTCAATGCTGCACGATTCCCAGCTCCAAACCATGAATGGGTAAGGAGAAAGCCCTGCACGGAGCGGGAAGATAAGCCTCAGGTAAATGGGTGCTCTTACACCCATCTTCCTACAACCTGAGACCCCACAGTCTCCCATTCCTTAAACCTGAGATAGGAGACAACAACAGGCAACAGAGGTTTCCCCACATCCTTTTGGGAAAGGTGATGGGGGTCTCAGAGATAACCAAGGACATCATAAATGACACAGAGCCTCCCCGCATCCTCTTTTTTTGGGGTGGGAATGTAGGAATATAAGTGATTTAAACCCCCCCACAGTTCCCTTTTTGGGGGGATGGGAGGGCATAAATGACCTAAACTTCACTCCTATCCCCGTTTCTGGGGGGGACATGGGGTATAAATGACCTAAACTCCCCTCCTATCCCCCTTTTTGGAGGGATACGGGGTTATGAATGATCTAAAGCCCCCTTCCATCCCCCTATTTTGGGGGATATGGGGTTATAAATGACCTAAAGCCTCCTTCCATCCCCCTTTTTTGAGGGATACAGTGGTTTAAGTGACCAAAAGCCTCCTCCTAACCTCCTTTTTGGGGGGATAAGGGGTATAACTGACCCAAAGCCCCTTCCTATTCTCTTTATGGGGGGTATACAAAGGTATAAATGACAAAAGCCCCTTCCTATCTTCTTTCTGGGGGGTGCATGGGAGTATAAGTGTCTTCCCCACCCCCAATCTCTCTTTCCCCCGAAGCCCCAATGAGATGGGAGCCCGAAATCCCCTTTCCTTAAACCTGGGACAAGGAGAGGGGCCCTAAAAGATAACACAGCCTCACGTTTGGCGCACATAACGTTGTGAATGACCTGAAGGCACTCCTCCATAAGAAGAAAAGCGGCCTCACAGATTTGGGGAGGGCACGCGTTACTCCTTATGCCTTCCAGCCCCTAAAGAACAAGCGGGGAGACCGTCCCAGCCCCTAACCCCACACCTCCCACCCGTCTGAGGGGACAAGGAACGAAGGGACCACAGGGAGAGCCCTCAACGATGAAGAGGAAGCCGAACGGAGATCACTCACCGGCAGCGCTGAGGCCCCACACCGCCCCGCTCGGCCTCCGCGGGGCAAAAGGAGAGCAGCGTTTCGCGCGCGGGGCATTGTGGGAGCGGAGCGGACCACTCGAGGCGGCAGCGCGGGTGGGGGGGGATAAAAAAAATAACGCGTACTTTTCGACGTTGAAAAGCGGTGAGAGAGAATCACACCTTGTTCGATAGATTTAAGAATCCGCGTAAAGAGCGCGGGGTGGGAGAAGAGAGAAGGAAGAGGTGGAAAAAGGAAGGGTGAAAAAGGAGATTTCCCCCCCCTCGCTCGCATAGTGGTACATTCCAAACGCATCGGGAGCGTAGAGGGAGAGTCCAACTTCGCGGGAGGGCGGGGGGAGAGCGGAGCGGTCTAAAGGCGGGGAGAGGGGTGCGCGCATGCGCTGTACGTGTCGCCCCGCCCTTCCCTGCCGCCTCCGGGGGTCGGAGCGGAGACAAAGGGCGGCTCCGCCCCGCCCCGCCCCGCCCCGCTTATAACGCGCACCGCTAAAAAAAAAACCCACCCCCAAATAACAAAATAATAGTAATACCCGCACCGCATGGCTGCTCCATGGCTGGGGAGGAAGAGGAGGTGGGTGGGGGAGCGGCTGGCATGGCGGGAGGGCGGCAGGGTGGTGGTGGCGGCGGTGGTGGTGGTGGTGGCAGCGGCGGTGGCAGCTCCAATGGTGGTGGCACTTCCATTGGCAGAGGCACCTCCAATGGTGGTGGTGGTGGTGGTGGTGGTGGCACTTCTAATGGTGGTGGCACTTCCAATGGCAGAGGCACCTCCAATAGTGGTGGCACCTCCAATGGTAGCGGTGGCGGCTCCTCCAATGGCAGTGGCACCTCCAATGGTAGCAGTGGTGGCTCCTCCAATGGCAATGGCACCTCCAACGCTGGTGGCATTTCCGATGGTGGTGGCACCTCCAATGGCAGTAGTGGCGGTGGCTGCTCCTCCAGTGGTGGTGGCATCTCCAATGGTGGCGGTGTTGGCGTGTCAATGAAGATGGCGTTCCGCCGAGCATACTCCATCAAGGACAAGCTGCACGCCATCGAGCGGGTAAAGAAAGGAGAACGGCAAGCTTCGGTGTGCCGTGCTTTTGGGGTGCCAGGGGGAACCCTACGGGGTTGGCTGAAGGATGAAGCCAAGCTGCGTTGGTTCCTAGAGCAGTTGGGTGGAGAGGTGGGCACCCAACGCAAGAAGATGCGGTTGGCCAATGAAGAGGAGATAGACCGTGCTGTATATGCGTGGTTTCTTGCACTCCGGCAGCACGGTGTGCCACTTTCTGGGCCTCTCATCCAAGCACAAGCAGAAGCCTTTGCCCGTCAGATCTACGGCCCTGAGTGTACCTTCAAGGCAAGTCATGGTTGGTTCTGGCGTTGGCAGAAGCGTCACGGCATCTCCAGTCAACGTATCTACGGTGAAGGAGCTCTACATGCTGAACCTGAACGTGCTTCCATTGCCCATCCCAACCTTCCACCAGCACCGGGTTCCGACACTGGAGGTTATGGTGATGAACAGATCTACAACGCCAACATCACTGGGCTCTACTGGAAGCTGCTCCCTGGGCGAACGGCTCCTCGCCAACGTGTCACCGTGCTCTTGGCTGCCAACTTGACTGGTACCCACAAACTGAAGCCGTTGGTGGTTGGAGGTCTTCGTGATCCCCCCAGCCTCTGTCATCACAACCAGGAGAAATTCCCTGCTGGGTATCGCTACAGCCCCGAAGCCAGGTTGGGGCTGGCCCTTCTCCGGGTTTGGTTTTTTGAGGATTTTGTGCCATGTGTCAAACGCTACCTACGTCGGAGCTGCCTCCAGCAGAAGGCTGTGCTGCTTCTCACATCCCCACCATCATCTGCGGGTCGTCATGAGGATCTCCCCCAGCTTCAGACCCCTGATGGCTCCATCCGTGCTCTTTTCCTCTCCAAAAGCCCAACTGGGAGCAGTTCCACTGGAGGAGGCAGCCGAATCCCAGCCCCATTGGAACAAGGGGTGGTGTCAGCCTTCAAGCAGCTCTACAAGCGGGAACTGCTGCGCTTGGCCATCAGCGCTGGTGGCCCTGTGGATTTTGCACGTTCCTTCCTCCTCAAGGACATGCTCTATTTGGCTGGCCTCTCTTGGGACCTCATCCCTCCCAATGCCATTGAGAAATGTTGGTTGTTGGGACTGCGTGCGGCCTTCGAGCCCCAGCCTGGGGAAGAAGAGCGAGGAGGAAGAGGAGGAGATTGCACAACCGTAGAAGAAGGCAATGGAGATGGCAAAGTTTTCAGTGATTTGACCCAGCTGGCCGCATTGGCCTACAAACGTTTGGCTCCTGAGGAGGTGGCCAACTGGCTGCACTTGGACGATATGGCCCCAGGGACAGGGGAGGATGATGAGGATGAGGATGCCATGGAGGAAGACCCGGGAGGATGCAAGGAGGAAAAGGAAAGAGCTGGTGGAGGGGGTAATGGGGCTGGAGGAGAGGGATCCCCTTTGATGCCCACGGCCCACGAAGCCATCAGAGGTCTGGAGACAGCCTTGCGTTGGTTGGAGGGCCAGGATCCCCGTAGAGTGGGACCACTGAAACTGGTGCAGCTCCGCTCCCTCATCAGCATGGCCCAGAGGCTGCACCACAGCAGCAGCCCCGATCCTTAGGGCAAGGTGGTTGATCACCCACTGGCTACTGAGCACCTTGCATCCTTGGGATGCCTATGTGGCTCTTGGGACACCTATGGGGCTGGGAACACCTATGGATCTTGAGACACTCGTTGAGTTGGGGATGCCCCATTGGGGCTGGTAACACCACTGGGGCTGGGGACATCCTAACTGTCCCATGGGGCTGGGGATCCCCATGAAGCTTGGGACACCCATGGGACTAGGGACACATACTGATTATCCCATGGGGGCTTGGGACATCCATGGGGTCGAGGACACCCCGTTTGTCCTATGGGGTTGTCAATGGAGGTCGCAGTCAATGGGGACTCAGCAATTTAGGGCTCATGGGATTGGTTTTTTTGTGTGAGACACCCTCCATACCTTGCGTTCCTCACCCTAAATATATGTAGGAGGTGCTCTTTTGTAATCCCAGGGTGGTCTCTGGGTGATGGGATGGGTACCCTCTGCCAACCCTGCAAGGACATGGTGTCACACTGGGACAGTGGGACAAATTGCTGCATTTCCATTTCCTGGGGTGCTTTCCTAAAAGGGTTGTTGGTACTCTTTCCACTGCCAAAATGTTTTCCTGCCAAAACAGGGAGATATTAATTAAACAGCTCTTTTCTCAACCTGATTTTGTTAAAATTTGAGCCTAATTATTGTAAGAAAGGGGAAAAAAAGTCACTAGAGCTAACTTGTGGGGTGGGTGTTTTTATTTGTTGTCTTTGTCTCCTAACTTCAGAGTTTATGAAGATTAAATGGATTTTTATTCCTGCTCTGAGGTTGTCTTTTGTAAATGATCCCTCAGAGTCACTGCAACTGTAGGGTTTGGGGTGGACCTGTGTGGAACCAGAGATTGGACTCCATGATCTTTGTGGGTCTCTTCCATATTCCATGGTTCTATGGCTCATCCCAACTATTCACTCCAAGATTATGTCCCCATCCCTGCCGTGGTGCCATACCAGATGGACCCAGAGGCCCCTTCAACCTCAACCACTCTGTGATGCTGTGACCTCCATTCCACCCACCGTGGTGACTCCAACCCCACTGCTGTCACCTCCACACAGACACATCCCACTGAGCACAGAGGACAGAAGGAACCAGAAAAAAAGCCAAACCTACCACCGCACTGCCCACCTTTATTGGGTCCCACTCCATGGTGACCACACACTTCAGCATCTCCCACCTCCACCCAGGATCTCCCAAAAGGCTCAAGGACCCTTCAGGGGTTTGGTTTGGGGTCACCAAGTTTTGGTCCGGTGGCTTCAGTTTGGGATCACCATACTTCAGTCTGGTGTCACCAGGCTTCAGTTTGCTGGCCAACATGATTTGATTTGGTGGCACCGTTCTTCAATCTGGTGTCACCAGGCTTCCATTTGCTGGTCAACATGATTTGGTTTGGTATCACCATTCTTCAGTTTGGTGTCACCATGCTTGAGTCTGGGGTCACCAACCTCCACTTTGGGATCACTGTGCTTTGGTTTGCTGTCATCAATGCTTCAGTCTAGAGTCACCAGGCTTTGGTTTGGTTGCTTCAGTTTGGGGTCACCATGCTTCAGTTTGGTAGCACCATGTTTTCGTCTGGGACCAACAGCCTTCACTTTGGTGGCACCATGGTTTGGTTTGGTGGCACCAAGAGCTGTGGTCCCCACTACCACAGGATGAGATGGGATGTCTGTTAATCCTCCCCCATTTCGCTCGCCCGCTCAGTGGCTGCTTGCACTGCATTCATGACGGTGGCCCTCAATGCTCCCTTCTCCAGTTGGTACAACCCATGGATGGTGGTCCCACCAGGTGTGCAGACGTCCCCACGCAGCTTTGCTGGGTGCTCACCTGTCTCCAGCAGCATCTTTGCTGCTCCCTGGGGATGTATGGGGTCAAGAGGTTCCCTCAAACCCCCTTTTTGCTCAGGGATCACAGCATCGTCTCATCACTGGATGGAGGATCACTATATCCTCACACTGATCTATGGGATAAGGACCCCAAGGAAGGGGCAGCAATGTCCCCATGGTGCTCTATGGCACATGGTCACCTAAAGGGGACAACCCTCTCCCCACGTCCCCACACTGCTCTATAGGGGAGGGACACCAGAGTTGGGGTTGGACAAGGGGATCCCCATGTCCCCATGCTGCTTTATGGGACAGGGACCCCAAGAAATGGAGTCAGGGATGTCCCTGTACTGATCTATAAGAAAGGGGCACCCAAGGCTGGGGATAGGGTCCCCACATTCCCATAACTGCTCACCAGCAGCGTCTGGGCTGCAATCCTACTGGCCAGGCCCCCTGGCATCCCCATCTTCACAGCTCCCTCGGCCATGGCTTCAGCAAACAGGTACACCTGCAGGGGAAAAGCAGTGGGGAGACCAGGGGATCCCAAAAAATAAGCTGAGCAACCCAGTATAGTGAATGATACTTACATAGGCAACGCCACTGCCACTGAGCCCAGTGTGGATGTTGATGTAGGACTCAGGGACCTCCTCACACAGCCCACATGGGGACAGCAGGGACTGCAGCAGTGCTGCATCCCCATCCCCAACCCCACAGCCACGGGAGAACACAGCAGCTCCCACCTGCAGCACGCAAGGCAGGTTGGGCATCAGGCGCAGCACCTTCGTCCCCGTGGGGAGCAGCTGGGGGGAATAGAGTCAGTGAGGGGTAATGGGGGTCATTTGGGGTGGGGGATTGGGAAGCAGAGAAGGAGGAAGAAGAGCAGGAGGGAGAAGGAGGAACAAGAGGAAAAGGAGAGCACCCACCTGCTGCAGCTTCTGCAGGCTGACACCAGCTGCCAGCGAGATGAGGAGGTGCTGGGAGGTGACAGCAGGACGCAGCTCCTGCAGCACTGTGGGCAGCACGTGGGGCTTGGTGGCCAAGAACACCACTGTGCTCTCCTGAAGTACCTCCAAGTTGCAGTGCGTGGTGCGACAGCCCCACTCCTGCACAAGGGTAGGGGACAGGGTCACAATGCCATGTCACAGCCCCGTATCACAACATCACGTCCCAATCCCAGATTCCAACCCCATGTCTCAACCTTGCATTCCAACCCCGATGTCCCAACTCAGTGTCTCAAATCCACATTCCAACCCCATGCCCCAACCTCTCATCCTGACCCCATGTCCCAACACTGGGTCCCAACCCAATATCCCAACCCAATGTCCCAAACCAACAACACAACCCCTCCCAACCCGACATCACAACCCTTATTTCCTATCCCATGTCCCAACCCCATGTCCCTACCCTGTGTCCCAACCCCACTTTCTCAACCCTGTCCTAAACCCAGTGTCCCAACCCCACGTTCCAGCCTTGTGTCCCAATCTGTCATCCCGACCCCACATCCTGATGCTGTGTCCCAACCCCAACCCAATGTCTCAATCCCACGTCCCAATCCCATTTTCTAGCCCCATGTTCCAGCCCCAATGTTCCAATGCTGTATCCCAACCCAGTGTCCTAATCTCATGTCTCAACCCCAGTGTCCTGACCCCACTATCCCCACCCCATGACCCAATGCAATATCACAACCCCACTGTCCCATCCTCATTGTCCTGATTATCCCAACCCAGTGTTCCCTTCCAGGGGACACTTTGGGACCTTCCACCCTAATGTCCCTCAGAGCCCTGCAGAGCTTTACAAAAGGTGACCCCAAATGCCACCTCCCATTGGGGTTGTCACTCTGTCCCCATGCCACTCACCCGCCACTCTGCCAGATTGCGGTCCGAGGGAGCGCTGACAACGATGTTGCTGGCAGGGACCTTCCCTTGGGGACATAAGGGACATGGATGAGTGGATGGGGTGGCCCACAGGAAGCCACAAAACCAACGGGATAGCGCATTGTCCCCACCCCTGTTAACACGAGGGACGTGGAGCAAGAGATTGGGACATGCCATGGGGACAGCTGGAGGGGCATCGTTGTGACACCATACGGTGACAATGGAAGTGATCCTACATGTTGGGGGCATCTGTTAGGTTAGCACTATAGGGAGGGTTGTCAACCACGTCCCCAAAATGCTCTATGGGACATCCAAGAAAGGAAAAACCTTTTCCCATGCCCTCACACTGTTCTATAGGGGAGAAACACCAGCGTTTAACACGAGTGTCCTCATCTCCACATCCAAGTTAGGACAGATTATTCCCGTGTCCTCACCCTCCTCTATTGGACAGGGACATCCCAAAGGGGACAGCCCTGTTCTCAAGTCCCAGCACTGATCTATAAGAGAAGGACACCAGAGGTGGTACTGGACACAACTGTCCCCATATCCCCATGCTGTGCTATGGGACAAGGACAGGACATCCCAAAGGGGAAAGGTCTGTTCCCATGTCCTTGCATTGATCTATGGGACAGAGGAGACAGCCTTGTCCTCATATCCCTGCACTGATCTATAGGAAAGAGTCACCAAAGTCGGGGTTAGACATAGCTGTCCCCACTCTGCTCTATGGGACAGCGACATCTCAAAGGGGGCAGCTTTGTCCCCCGTGTCCCCACACTGCTCCATGGGGGCAGGGACACATAAGGTGGTGCACAGCCCCGTCCCACACCTCTCTGTAGGGCAGGACACCAAACCTGGGGAAAATCTCGTGTCTCTGGCTCCAAGGCTCCAATCCAAGGCTCTGTCCCCCCCATACCTGCCCGCAGCAGCCCCCGGCCGAGGCCCCCCGCCATCCTCCCGGCGCCCACGAACCCCACGCGCAGCTCCTCCGCTTCCATCGCCCCGCGCCACGCCCCCCTCGCTCCTCCCCGCCACTCCCATTGGTCAGACGAGGCACACCCCCGCGCGGCGATTGGAGGGCGTGATGTCGAGGGGGGCGTGACCAACGTGGCTACGCAACTTCCGGGTGATTCCACGTGGTTTGGAGACAGCGTCCGGGGTGGGAGCGCTGCGGGAAGCACGTGGGGTGGGGGTGGGACATAGGGGCCCCCTCCCATTTTGGGGACGTGCTGGAGAGGGTATCTATAAAGCTTTTATATTCTGGAATTTATTTCTTTAACTCTTTTTGGGGGAGAGGGTGTGAGGTACTCTTGAATTTGTGTTGGGGGCTTCTCAACCTTTTTGGGAGTCCTTTACTCTTTTTTTCTTCCTATAGGGCACCCCCTCCAAGTCCATGCAGCCCTATAGCCTGGAATCCTATGGGGATGAGGGGGTTGGGCTGGTAGCGGAGAATGTCTGTCCTCTTACTAGGAGAGGTCTGCTAAATGTCCCCTTGAATTTGGCATTGTGGCATCTCGCCTTCACCCCAGAGGGGTGTGAGGTGGGTTGGGAATGGTGGGTTGGAAGTGGGGTGACTTGGGAGAGATGATCATAGGGTGGCTGTAGAATGGAGGTCAGAAACCCCAAGGTGTCCCCATCCAACCCCAGCATGTCCCCGTGCCATGTTGGGGTACCTGTGCTACCCCAGGGTGTCCCCATTGTCTACATAGGTAGAACACATCAGCACCCACGCCATTTTGCATTGCCTTCATACCTGGAGCAGTCCCAGTGATGGTAGGGGAGCTTTGCTTAGCAGGATGGATGTCACCAGTTCCTGATGCTCTTGGGAGAACAAAGCCTGGGGACAAGGCAGCTGGGCAAAGTGGCTATCAGGAGTCTGCATGGGGTAAGCTTGAGCCGGGGGTAGGTGTAGGGTGGGTCCTGCTCCCTGGAACTATCTGGGTTCCCCTTTTAGGGCCAGGTCATAGAACTGTAGGTCTTCTTCTAGGAATAGGTGTTGTCTCTGTGATGGTCCATTGGGCCATTGGGAGAGGTCCTGGAGCATATGCCCAGAAAGGACTTCTGGGTGGAGGGGTACACTTCTGTGCTCTGCCAAACCCCTTTTTCACCCAACCAGGTGATGCTGGAACCAGGTGTAGGAGCTGGGCAATGCTGGGAACCCAAACCAGTTCTTGGATAGTGATGGACAACATGGGACATCCCTTCTCCAGGGAAATGCTGGGGTTGGTGTCACCCAACCCCAGTGAGCACCACCAGTGACCTGACAGTTTGGGAACAGCCACTCTAATAGTTGGGGGCATCTTGGGGTCAGAATGGATATCTCCTCCATAGGAGGAGGACTCGAATGGCTGGTGACAACTTCAGACTGCAGGGATGATGGGTGTCTACTCCATAGGTCCTTGCTGTCCCCAAGGCAGGGGCCCACCAGGACCAGGCAGTGGTTTTGGTCCCTCTAAGAGATGCTTTGCTGGAGGCTATGGGACAGTCCCCACGCAGCTGCGTTTCCCCACGCACCGAAAGCAACACCAAACAGTCATCTGTGATTCCTGTGCTGCAGCAACAGCCTCAATCAGCTTCTTTATTACAACCTAATTATGCATAATTAGTAGTGTAGTCCATTATAAGAGCTGCCAGCCCATGCCCCAGGGATGATTGTGATCAATTCAACCATAGTGTCTGTTGCTCCTGCCCCATTTGGGATCTCTCTGGGGACAGCAGCACCTTTGGGTCCCCCAGTCTGCCTCCCAAAGCCCTCGGTGGGGTCTGCACCCTACAGCAGGTAGGAAAGGAGTGTTACCTGAGCAGGGTCTCTTCTACATAAGATGCTACTTGATGATTTTTCATTATATTTTCCCCCTCTCCTTGCACACCCTCAAGCGTACCCAGGATCCTGGCACCCATTTGCTTTGGAAATATCGCTGTCAGCCCCCACACCCCATCCTCTGCCCCAGCAAAGGACAACCCTGAGTTAAAGAGGACGCGTGGGCACCGCTCCATCACTTCCTAGCACTGGCGTAGTTGGTGCTGAACCAGGTGCAAGTCTCCTTCACAGCTGGGAACAGAGAGATGCTATTAGAAAGGTTTGAGATGGGGAGAACAGGGGGACAGCGATGCACTGGTGTGCCCCCTTCTCACCTTGTCTGAAGGGTGTGAACTGGAAGTTGGGGAGGTAATGCCTGAGCTTGGCATTGCTGGCTGTCTTCTTGAACTGCCCATCGGCCTTGGTTGTGTCGAACTGGGGTGGCAGGGATTAAGGGAAATGGGAAAGCAGGGAGGCTGAGGTGGTGAGGCTGTATTCTGCCCCACAGCCTGGCAATAGGATGAGAGGTAACAACCTCTGGATTCGGGTTGGATATTAGGAAAGCTCGGTCGAACATGGGTTGACGTTTGGACTCGATGATCTCAGAGGTCTTTTTCAACCTTAATGATTCTATGAGTGATCATGGTGGAGATGGGTTAATGATTGGACTTGATGATCTTGGAGGTCTTTTCCAATCTCTTCTACACTAAAGGATACGACAAGCTCTCCCCTGAAGTCCATGGCCTCCACGATTGCCTCTGCAGCCTCTCTGATGGAGACTTCATCTTCTTCTCCCACTGTGGAGATGATGATGAGCTGAGGCCATTGTTTCCCCCTTTCCCTCTTCCTCTTGGAATTTTGTCCTTACCTGACAAAATGATGGGCTCCACCTCCTCGTATTCCCGTAGAACCCAAACGAAGAGCCGGGCCAGATCCTACAGAGGAGCAGATGGCTCTTGGAGGACCCCAGGCCCTGAGGATCAGTGCTGCCCAGGACAACCCAGGAGGGCTCAGCCTGCGCTGATGTCCCCCAGCGCCTCATGTCACCCCCCCAAGTGCTCCCCAAGGCCACACATACCAAAGAGTAGATAAACTGTCTTCGGGGCTTGCCTGTGCCCCATACAGTCAGAGCAGAGCCATTCTCTATGGGGGAAATGGAGAGAGCATTCATGAGCAACCCTACCAGAAAGAAAAAAAAACCCAAACCATAATATGCCCTATCTATCACACTCACGTTTGGCCAGGTACACCTTATGGATGAGCCCTGGTAGCACGTGGCCATCCTCAATGTTGAAGTTGTCATGTGGCCCAAAGACGTTGGTGGGGATGACGGCGGTGAAACGGCAGCCGTGCTGCTCAAAGTAACCCCTGGGTGACAGCATGGGCTGGGTGAGTCCCTTCCCACTCAAACTATGATTCTCTGAGTTGTGGGGTCACCCCCTGTCCAGCACAAAACAACCCACAGACAGTCCCTAACTTGGTATGGCATCTCTTGGTTGCCAAGGCTGGGTATCTCCCCATCCCCATTTAGGTGCTGTCAGCCCTGGAGTTTCCCTTTGCCCCAGTAGTTCCAAGATGCTCACAGCCCTCTTAAACCAGGATGGTTCTCCCATGGCCCTCACACCTGTTCTGGACATCGATCATCCTCTTGGCATAGGAGTAGCCAAAATTGGAGCTGTGTGGTGGCCCGTTGTGGATCTGGGAACAAGAGACACAATGTGAATCCAGCACAGACCACGCAGCCTAAGTCGATGCAAGATTTTGGACATGAGGAGGTGGTGTGGTTTGAACATCTCGGGGAGGTTCAAGGTTATGCTTTGCCCACGGATAGTTTGGATAAAGGATAGAATCAGATTGGCCACACTGGGACCCAGCTGTGTCCCTGCAAATGGGAACAGAGATGCTCACCATGGTCTCATCAATGGGATATGTTGTCTTGTCTGGGAAGATGCACGTGGAGAGGCAGGACACCACCTTCTGCACCCCGCACTCATATGCAGAATGCAGGACATTGTCATTGATGTGGATGTTCCTCCTCTGGGGACACAGAGACATCTGTCAGTGTCACCCACAAAAGGGTGGTGGAGCCACCAAGCCCTGCACCCCATGGTGATAACTCATTCATGACTGCAGAAACCAGAGTAAGCTCAGAGAGGGCAAGGTTCTGCAGGACCCACTTGCCCAGGCGCTCACCCAAAAATCCAGGTTGCAACGGATGTTTTTGAAGAGGCCCCCAACCATAGCAGCCAGGTGGATGACATGGGTGGGTTTATGTTTCTCAAAGAGAGCTTTGGTCTCCACAGCACTCCTAGAGGGAGGAAGTCATGGGGTTTACTGCATCAGTGTCCACACTTTTGGTTTGCTTGGATTGCACTGAGTGAAGAGGAATCGCCTTGGGGGCCACATATAAAATATGCCATTCTGTGTCTCTGTGGTCTTTAAGGCTCCTTCTAACCCAATCAGTCTATGCTTCTGTGATGCTTAAGGACCCTCCCAACCCTGCCATCCTATGATACTATGATTTTTAAGAGCCCTTCCAACCCAAGCCATAGAATCATTCAAGTTGGTAAAGACCTCCAAGGTTATCAAGTCCAATCGTCTTCCCACCCCACCATACCCTCCAAAGTATGTCCCCAAGTGCCACATCTATCCTTTTCTTGAAGACCTCCAGAGACCCAGAACCATCCTATGATTCTAAGATATTTAATATCCCATCTAACACAACTATTCTATGGCTTAATGATCTTTAACAATCCTTCCAACCCAAGCCATTCTAGGATTCTATGGTCTTCAGAGTCCCCAACCCATTCTATTAGTGTGTCGTGGGGGCAAAAGGAAGGGATTGCTGGGGTTGGACTCACGTCAAGTCGGCATCTCTGGAGGACACGAAGACCCACTCCTCATCCGTCTGCCCCTCACCATTGGCCACCACTTCCTGGATGGCTCTGCCCACCAAACCGGTGCCCCCCGTCACCAGGATGCGTTTAGGCTTTGCTCCCACAGCCTCCGTCATGGCCAAAGCCCTGTGCTGATGGGAGAGGGGGGAATAAGGCAATACCACCTTGGGGGGCACCCATAGGGACCCCCAACCTCGGGAGGAGAACCAAACTAATTTGGGATTATGTTTTCAGGATTGAAGCTGTGTCTGCAAAAGCAAAGAAAAGGAAAAAGGAAAGAGATGTGTCTGCCAGCGATGCTCCCGGGGCAGTAAAACTCTCCTCATCTGCAGTTGCTAATTAATGAAACCTGTCTCCTGCTGCCACGTGGCTACGGCAAGGCACAGCCTCCCGGAAATGGCTGCGGAGCACACGTCCATCCCCCTGCACACCAAAACAGGGGCTTGTACCCTCCCCGTACAGCCCTCTGAACCCCAAGCCCATGTCAGCACCTCCACATCCCCTTATGAATGCCAGTCCCAGAGCTGCAACCCCTCCATGCACCCCAAATCCTGTGTCAGCACCCTCACACCTCCCTGTGCACCCCAATCCCACAGCTGCACACCCCAAATCTCATGTCAGTCCCCCCCCCCCCCCGGTCCAAACCCTGGGCTGTCCTCCTGACCCCAAATCCAGGGGTTGAACACCCCAAATCCTATGTCAACACCCCACATCCCCCTGCAACCCCAATCCCAGAGCTGCACACCTCCAATCCCATGTTGGTACCCCCACATCCT